CAGCTCTGCAAACCTACAGCCCCAATCTTGTTCTGATGCTGAAATTTCCTCCTCCTAATCCTTCCTCTTCCTTTTAAGCAACCATCTCAGGTCACCTCTCAGCTGCTGAAATCTGTCAGCATGCAGGAGCCCTGCCTGGAGGCACTGCTAAGAATAGTGTTCAAGAGCGAGGGGAAGAGAGGAGTAAGCCTGGAAGGGCTTTGGCCACTGCCACCGCCGCTTGGACTCCACCTTGTTTCCTACACGGGGTGGAGGCCACGCAGTGTGTGCAGCTTCATATGGTGCTCTTATCTGACAGTCTTCTGATCCCCCAAAGCCTGAAGTCACCGGCACAGCTGCAGAAGACCCAGTGCTCTTGCTTTGCTATGGCGATAAGGTCCCCTTACTATTGCCCCTTCCCCTCTGGCTGATGCTGCTGGGAGCGCGGGGTCTTGCCTGTCTGCCTGCCTTGATTGACTGAGCTGCAGGCTCCTAAAAAAAAGCGCAAACGAATCTTTTGGAAGCAGCCGTGTATCAGCAAAATGCCATAGAAACCACAGCTGCGTGACGGAGGGCCTTTTCCCCGGCATTATGCAATAGGTAATTATGTAAGCTGGAATCATACAAGATTCCTGGCCTTTCCAGAGTGCCAGCCTCCCCCCTCACCCCCATCCCGCTCCCCTGGCACAGCAGCGTGCACCATGCTTACCTCATGCCACGCTTCATACAACCCAGGGGCACGGCAGAGCTGGGGCTGACACCACTCCCCACTGCAGGACCCTCAGCTGCTCTCAGGTGGTTTTTTTTTTTAAATTGTTATTGTAGGGGAAAAGGCTCACTGAAAAGAAAAAAAGCATTTGGTCAAAAAAAAAAAATCTGTTTGCTGTGTAAGCACACAGGATAGATTGGGTTGTTTTTTGAGGAAAATGGACTGGTTTTCATAGAATCATAGAATCATAGAATGTTTGGGGTTGGAAGGGACCCCTAGAGGTCATCCAGTCCAGCCCCCCTGCAGTGAGCAGGGACACCGCTAACCAGATCAGGTTGCTCAGAGCCCCGTCCAACCTGGCCTTGAATGTTTCCAGGGATGGGGCCTCCACCAGCTCTCTGGGCAACCTGTTCCAGTGTTTCACCACCCTCATTGTAAAGAATTTCTTCCTTACATCCAGTTTAAACCTATCCTGTTTTAGTTTAAAGCCATTACCCCTTGTCCTGTCCTGTTTTGGGGGCATCCCTCTCCTCCTCCTTGCTGCAAAGTTTATTTCTCAAAGTTATTTCAAATGAAAATAATGTCTGTGATTTCTGCTAGTGCCTCTCTTTTGGGTACAAATTTCCCTACTTGCAGCAGGTCTGGCTGCAGAGAAGACGGGGCTAGAAATCATTGGCGACTTGTTGTATTAACTACCAAGGCAATGCGGGGGACTGCTGGGCTCTCTGATCATCATTTTACAGGCCAGGGCTGAATCTCTCTCTTCACAACAGCGATACTCTAAGAAAAAAATAAATTGAGTGTGGCCAAACAGACTTGGAGCTGGTCCCTCCCTGTGGCTGGTGTGCGATTCCTGCCGTGCCTCCCAGCTCTGCCCAGGCCGCTATGCCCTGTATTAATAACCACCAAACAGCTGGTGTTTCTAAAACCATACCCAGGAGCCAGTCCTTGCTCTTTCACTGGTGCTGTCTGTGGGCTCGAGCAAGTCTTAGAGCTGCTTTGTTCCCCTGTAAATGGGGAAAACAAGCGGCTTTTCCATTCGTGGGGTTGCGGCGTGGTCTAAATTCGTTAATGCCTGTAGAAAGGTTTCCCATCCTCTGAGGGAGGAGCTGTGCAGAGGTGAGGTTGCATCCACGGTTTCGGCAGAAACAGCTCTTCCCCTGCCTGCTGTGCCCATTAAATGGGGGGGACTTTTCCTATGCACCTTTTGGCGACATTTTTGGGTGGGAACCAGCCCCACGCGGCCCCCAGGACAGCCTTCCTCCTCAGCAGTACCCTGAGGCTTGGCTGTGGCTCTGCTGCTGTCCCATGGGATCTTCCTCTGCCCCAGTCCCACCACCCTGTCCCTCTCCAGCAGTCAGGGCTGGTGGGGTGAGAAGAAACGTCCTCCCCGTGCCAGTGACCTGCTGCAAGGCTGGGGGCAAAGCCACGAGGACCTGCCAGGGCCCTGCCACCCCAATACGGGCCCTTTCCAAAGCAAACAGATCGTGTCTATGTCCCATGCCGAACATGAGCGCCGTACAAAAGTTTTGCCATGGTGCTGCTGGCACCGGGCTGCTGCAATCCTGCGCGTCCTGGGGTCACTTGCTTGCCTCTGAAATTTGAGGGCTACCTGTTGGCCACCTCCCCGAGCCTTCAAATCCCGGCATGGGGCTTGGACGTGGCCTCCAGTCCCCGTGGCTCTGTCGCCCGTGGCCACTAGATGGTAGCAAGCCCTGGCCGACGGAGCTGGGCTGCTGCGGTGCCTCCTGCCCGGGCAGGGTCCATCTGGGGGGCATCCGCATCGCACCAGCCATGCACCCCAAAATGCCGCCCAAAACAGTAACGATAGGTTTTGCTCTCGGTACGAGCACCTTACATGTGGACGCGGGCCTGCAGCCATGCGCGTCCCCGGGACTATGGTGTGGCCAGTGCTGCTTGAAATAAGTTATTCAATCGCTCGGTGCTTTTTGAAGGGGGTGGCCGACATGTCGGCTCTCAGTACTCTGCGTTTGTCGCAGACTGAGATGCATCTATCAAGACGGTTATGCAAGCGATAGATTTTGCCCCAAGGGGGAGAGGAGAGGCCTGTAGATACTAAAATGTTATGTCTTTTTCTCAGAGTCTGGTGTGCTATAAAGCTTTTAGTATTTTTGTAGACTAGTTATTTAAGCTCTAAGGAGCTTATGATTTCATTTCATTACTACTTCACTTGCAAAAAAAAAAAAAAAAAGCACTATGGAATCCCATACTCTTTTAAGCCTTCTGACCATTTAACGTTAATGTCCATAACTGAGACTGTTGACTTCACAGCGCTGGGGAAAGTTACAGAGAGTGGAGAGTTGACCAGCTTCAAATGAAGTTATTATGGCAAGCGAGTGGTTTCAGCTTGGGGAACAGGACAGAGCTCGGTGCATAAGCAGCAGCCTCTTGTGTACCAGGAGCACATTTCTGTCGTGTCTGAAATGCGTGTAAAACAGTAAGGTCAGTATTCAGGATCCTACCCAAGGCCGAGCCTGGGATGGTGCAAATGCTTGTTTACTGCTCTAAGTACTTGGGGAGTGAGGCTGCAGGTATGTGACCTCTCCCGTCTCAGCCCTGCGCTGTGAAGAACAACACGAGGAATGAGCTGGAGGTGTCCTGAGCTCTCTTCCATCAGTTTAGCTTAGTTGGGTAATTGGTGGTGGCCTGGTGTTTGTGCAAGTAAATCAGGATGAAATCTTGGCCTTGAAGTGTTTAGGATGTGGATTTTTGGATGTAAAGCGAACTGGCACATAGAAGAGAGAGAAGGGGAGGATTGCAGGGTCACAGGCTGACTTGGCTGACAGAGGCTTGCAATGTGTAATGGCCAAAATTCCCTTACCTTTAGGTTTGGACACCAGCCGACACCTCCATTTGGCTTTTGCCACCCTTCTTACCTAAACTATTCCCCTTAAGCCTGCGTGTTTCTGAGGGGTGTGAGGCTTTGGGCCTCAGTCCTCCTCACTGCCTGATTGCCCTTGTACAGGGAGCGCTTCCCCCCCCTTGCAAGGCTGGAGCAGGAGACTTTCCCCACTGCAGAGAGTGGATGGGTGCAGAGGCAGCGATGCACCTCAGGTCCTGCAGCACTACAGTATGGACCATGGGGCTGCATGCGGTTCTCCTGAGCCCCAAGGCAGGTGTCGTCAGCCCTGGGTTGACATTTCTCGCCTGCCAAGGCCTGCAGCGTGTGCCCCTTTGGAAATGTCCAGCAGTAGGTGTGTGCTTCTGGACAGCAGGTCTAGCTGGGCTGCGTTACCGGGCTGTGCTCTGACTGCATTCACCCCCTGGAAGGGATTAATCATCCTGTTGGTGTGCCAGGCCGTTATCAGTCCTGATGGGGCTGGAAGAGAAAGGCTGGGAGGTGTCCCAAAGCATACCCATGTTGTTTGTCAGCCCGTCGGCTTTTCCTCCCAACACTGATATTTGCCTTGACAGAAGTAGCTGGAGACCTTAACCCCTGTCTGGGTGCATGTTGAGTGAAGCCCTGCTGTGTCCTTGCGTCTCTGGCCAGCTGCAAATTGCCATCCTGGCTCAGCTGTACTTCTGTCGACTCTGATGTCCAGGCTCAGCCAGTGGCAAATCCTGAGCGTTCGTTCCCCGGAGAGGCAGGCAGAAGGACCCTGGTATGCGGATGCAGGGTAACTGGCTCCTGTAGAGCTTTTATCCCCTTCCTCCCCCTGCAGAGACTGGGGAGATACCTGGGCCAATCTGGATGTCGTTAGCTCTTGAGGACATGTCTCTTCTAACTCTGTACTCTTCTTTATTAGTAAATGGAGTGTACTACCCCAGGGGAACAGGAGAGTGAGCTCAGCATGGGAAAGGAAAGGCCTTTGGAGCAAAGGAGCTGATGCTACCAGCCATCCTGGTCTCTTCTCCTGCCTGTCCTTAGCAGGCCAGGGGAGAGGGAGGCAGGGTGGCCTTGCAGATGACAGTGCTCTTCAGGAATCTCCTGCCATACAGCTTGACACTGTCTCTGGGTCCTTGGGAACCCGGGACAGGCTCCTGGCACTGTGTTTCAGCAGTGCCCTTTCTGTCTAGAGCGGGACGTGTGCCATTCCAATACGAAAAGCAGAAATGATGCCATCAGTGGCACCCACAATAACACCTGACCCAAAATAGCTTCCTAGAATAAAACAGGGAGGCTGATTAGGTTAGACAAGCCTGAATGAGAGCAAGAAGTCCAGCTGATGATTGACAGGTGTGGGTCTGTGAGCAGGGGCTATAAATCCTGCGGGTGAGCTCTCTAGCCACCCTTTGGGGAAAGGCAAGCGGCTGCAGGGAGCACTCACTCGAGATCTGTCTTCAGTGAACTATGGGGCTCAGTGATCAGGAATGGCAGCAGGTCCTGACCATCTGGGGAAAGGTGGAGTCCGACCTCCCTGGCCATGGTCATGCAGTTTTAATGAGGTAGGCAAGAAGCTTCGGTCCTAAGAGTAAGGCTGAGAGCTATTGATGAGAGACCAAGGAAGGTGTGTATTTAGTATGGGGGCTTGTGTTCGGCGGTGTTTATTTCAACAGGCTGTTTTCTTTGTTGTAGGGTGGTGGTTTTTTCATTGCTATGGTTTCTGTGTTAAAAATTACTCACTGTGTAAAGCGGCTGTGCTTCTGTCTCTCTCCATCCGTCTATGGGAGCAGGAGTGGGCCACTGCTGCTTTCAAAAGATGGTGGGACTTTGTCACTCCCTCTGCCCAACCTGTTGACAAAGCTCTGCTCTGGATCCTCATTGCCCAGGCACTGCAGTGAGAAATGCTGGAGTGAATTGTGCATCCCAGGCCTTCAGATGCTCAGCAGCAAGGATGTGGGGAGGCAGAGAAAGAGAGGAGAGGAAAATCACCTCTGTGACAATTTTCTCAGAATCTCTGATTTCAGTAAAATTAACTGTGAATTACCTGAGTGTTTCCCTCTCCCCACCTTAGTCTGACCTGGCAGAGCCCTGCCCATTGTGCTTTTTGGACCAGAAATCTGGGTGGTAACGCTTGTCTAATTCCTGATGATGAATTTGAGTTCTGGGTGTGAAATGAGGCACATCCTTCCCCCTGCTTCCCTCCTCTGTGATTCTGAAATCAGAGTGGGAGCACTTGTGAAGTCTCCATCTGAGAGGACCCCTGCCCCCATGCTGTCCTTGCAGTCCTGGCCCCCTCAGAGGGGAACACCCCAGGCACCAGCAGCAAGTCACAGAAATGCAACCTGGAAGGGACCTCAGGGCTGTAGAGTGGGAAAGGATGTTGTGTGAGCATTGGATCCTAGTCTGTCCTTAAAGATCAGCAGGGATGGAGACTTTGAGGGAGACTCTCCAGATCTTGCCCTCAGCCTGTGCTCAGCAGATTGTGCTGGAAGGGTACGGATGCTGTGGAGAGCAGTGGGGATGTGGCACTCACTTGGGGGATTTCCTAGCTTAAGCATGGCTAAAGGAAGGAGCCCACACCATCGGGCAAAGCCACTGTCCATTCAAAGCTTTTTCAAAGATGAGCCGAAGTAGAGGGCTGTTTTATTTACCTTCTGTATCATGGCCCATTTGGAGGGAGGGCAGCTGGGTGGCAGTGTGATGGCTCTCCGTGGATGCAATCCAGAGCCGGCATGCTGGAGGGGTAACAGGAACCTCAGCCTGCCCCACCAATCTACCTCTGTGAGGTGACTACTTTGGCTCTGGAACTGCCACAAGATAGTACAAGCAGTTTCCAATGGAAAAGGTAATACCATTTTTCTTACAGGTATCATAGGGCATTAAACAAATAGATGGCATCCCACTTCCCCGTGACTTTGTGCTCCTCAGGCAGCCCAGGTCGTTTCTTGTTCCTTCGAGGGGTTTCTGAGGGAGGAGAGAGGCGAGGGAAGCCCCGCAGATCTCTCCGAGTTTAGAAATGTGTCCAAGTGAGCACTGTTAAAGACTTCTTGGGTAGATGTCATATCCTGGGAATATGTTTAGAAAACACTGATTCAACTGGAAGTTTTCCAAAGGAAACACAAAAGTACTCAGAAGGATTTTCAAGGGTCTTGGGAGTATATCATCTTTGGCAGACATGATTCAGCCGTAGCCAGACACGATGCAGAGAGGTTTTTAGAAATACCTCCATCTCATCTTAGGGTGGAAAGTTTTTTCATCTTTCTGGGTGAGATGCAACCTGTGTCATGGGAAGATAGAGGAAAAAAGGAAAGGCCAACGGTGGTGTGCTCAGTACCTGGTAGAGTACAGAAATCCTTTAGAGACCTTTGAAATGAAATGCCGGCAAAGGCTGGTCATTCATTTACAGAATGCTTTTTCTGTGGAACAGCTTGTGTTTTCTATGTGCTTGAAGTGTTTGTTAGTGTAGTTTAACCTATGCTTACATCATACAGTGGAGACCCTGGCATTCATGGCAACATACTTAGGAGGAACGTCCAGTTCGAGATGGGACGCAAGCCCCAGTAGCCCCAGCCCCAGCCCCCTCCCGAGGGCAGAGTAAACGTGCAACTACTGAGGTCCTGGGCTGGAGCACCAGATGCTGCTGCAGGTGACTTGGGTGAGCCACTTCACGATGCGAGCTATAGGGCCCTGGCTGTAAAGACAGACACTGCTTTTGCTGGTGCTTCAACTCATCGGCTTATGCCCATCAGAGGGTGTAATACCTGAAAATAAACGTGTGCCAGGGAGCTGATGTCTCTTGACACCTAATTATTAGACTGATCCTAATAATCAGGACAGGCAATATCCACTTTTCACCTCAACTCCAGGACTCTGGCAGGGAAAAGAGTGAAATTTCCTACTGGTTTGGTTGCCAGTGGTGTCTGCATCCTGTCTCCTAGGAAATGCAGCAGGGAGGAAGCAGGGTGGACACCACCACCCTGTCTTTTAGCCACCCTTTCACCTTCTCGTTTTCATTTTCATTTCGGGATCAGAGCGCCCATGTATAGCACTGCACAGCATGGTGCCAGCATGCCTGAAGGCCCCGCGCTCCTGTTACCCACTTACTCCCAAGGACTCTCTGAGGTGCTGCGGTTCTTGATGGAGGAACCACACTGCTGGCAGCTGGGCTGAGCTGTGAGCTGGGGGAAAGAGGACAGGGATCAAATTCCTCTGTGTCTGCAATCATAGGGTGGGGGCACAGTAAGCTCTCCCATCCAGCTGATGTTCAAGAACACCTGAACCCCAGATGTGAGGGATCTGAGGCTGGGGGCTGCTCCCTTTTTTTTTTTTTTTTGTGTGTATGAGAAGTCCCCAGGGCTCTTCTTTCCTGGTCAATGCAGAAATGGGCTGGGAAGAGAGGCCTGGTGAAAGCCCGGGGTCTACAGGTTAGCTCCTCAGCAATAATAAGTCAGTGAAAACAGGTGTTTTTGTTTGGTTTTGGTTTTCCTTCAGATGAATGCAAGAACTTGCCTCTCAGTACCACGACCAGTCTTGGCTCTTGTCTCTATCCTAATACAGTTGACATAACCCAGGGGACTGGTGCCAAAGAGTTAGCAGGGACATGTTTAGGGCAGTGTCTCTGTCACAGCCAGAGGGAATGGAAAAACACAGCGGTGATCATGTTAGGACGCGTGTAAGAGGATGCGACTAAGTAGATACAATACTCAAAGGGAGGTATGTCAGGAGCTTCTGCTCTCCAAAGACAAGAGGCTTTTTATCATTTGTTAATGATAAAAGGCAGCCTGTATGAAATAAATTGAAAGGAAACTTGTGCCCACAGAGCGTCATCAGGTTGTGGAACAACCTACCAGAGGAAGGATGAAAACCACTTAAACCAGATTCAGAGTAGGGTCAGATGCTTCCCTGTCTTATATACATGCTAAAAGGAGTGATTGTGAATGGTGGTAATTTGGAAAGGATCTAGAGTGTCAGAGTTCCCAGGGCAAAGTAGCCTTTACAAGCAGGGACTAGCTAAGAACTTTCTCTGGGGAGGGAAGCAGGTTATCACACCTTTGCCTGGCCACATACTCTGAAATATCTGGAGAGGCTGGATCTCAGCTCTGGTCTGGATGACAGCTTTTTCAAGTCTCACAAGTCCCTCTACTTTTATCCACAGACTCTTTCAGGACCACCCTGAGACCTTGGATCGCTTCGAAAAGTTCAAAGGCCTGAAGACCCCGGATCAGATGAAGGGCTCTGAAGAGCTGAAGAAACATGGAGTTACTGTTCTTACCCAACTGGGCAAAATTCTGAAGCAGAAGGGTAATCATGAGTCAGAGTTGAAGCCCCTGGCTCAAACCCATGCGACCAAGCACAAAATCCCGGTCAAATATCTGGAGGTATGGAAAAGGGCAGGGAATCTTGGTGACTGATGTGTAGCGAATGTGTGCAAGACAGCTATGTGAGAGTTGCGCTTTTATTTACCGATGGCTAGCTGGACTTCAGTGAGCTCTCCCTCAAGTCAAGGTCTCTGTGTACAGGCAGGAGGAAGCACAGAAAGGGCTCACGGTATGTGAGTGGTATGTGAATATCCAAGTTTAGATTTCCCATTCCAAACACCACATGCATTCTGAGCAGCCCTTGACAATAATAAACCAGCCCATGCAGCCTCTGCATGCCTGGGAAACTACATTACATAAGAACTGTTGGTGGCTGGACACGAGGGACGTCCAATTTTAGTGTAAGCCCTGGAGGATCCACTGGAGACCAAGACCCACAAAACTCAGTGTTGTACAAACAAAGGCATGAATTTTCAGCCTTAATGGATGAGGCAGACAAAGAGTGGGAAGGGCCATGGGCTGCTGAAGGTCACGAAGCGGATCAGCATCAGAGCTAGGAATAGAGCCCAGTTCTTCTGCCCAGCCCAGGCTCCTTGCAAGCTAGGCCTCACTGTTTCTCCAGAGACTGCGGGAAGGGCTACTGAATTAGCTTGGAGATATTTCCAGGCTCTGCAACCTACTTCTTTGTCTGGCTTTTCTGAAAATAAACCTTGACTGTCCCTTCTGTTTTTCTCTCTCTTTCTTTCCTCACAGTTCATTTCTGAAGTCATTATCAAGGTCATTGCTGAAAAACACTCTGCAGACTTTGGGGCTGATTCCCAGGCTGCGATGAAGAAGGCGCTGGAGCTGTTCCGAAATGACATGGCCAGCAAGTACAAGGAGTTCGGTTTTCAGGGTTAGCACATACGCACAGAGGGACACCACGATGGAGGCCTGGCCATGTATCTTAGAGTAGCTTCCCCAGCACTGTTTTGGACATCTCACAATTGACCATCCAAGATGTGTGGGAAAGCTTTGATGAGAGGCCAAGAGTCACTCCAGGCAGCGTGGAAGCACTCAGAGTAATATCCGTGATAAACCGTTGTTTCCTGGCTTCATGCATACAAGAGAAATAATCTGCTTTCGTAGGAAAAATAATGTAAGGGGTTATCTGTGAGCTTCTGCCTATCCCTACCCTCTTTTTCTTTCCCCCTCCCCAAAACCCAGTCTCATCCAAGAGGGGAATGGCATGGCCAGAGATGAAGGGATGTGGAGGAGCAAGGGGGGAGTGTTGAGGAGTGTGGTGACTGAGAGGGTAAAGGGATGACTCAAATAGTATGAAAGAGATGTCAGGATGGGAAGCAGAGGCACAGTGTCCCGTTCCTCCCACAGGTGAGACTGTTGGCAGGTTACTGTGGACAGCTTCCAGCACAGTATTACCTCACTTTGTGGGGGTGAATGCAGCCAGTCAGTCTCCAGGCTGTGCCAGCTTGAAAACTTGCATTAGTTGCTAAACTCACATTAGCAAGGCTATGAAGAGCAGTACTCCCTGCAATCCGTAGGTTTCTGGCAGCCGCCGCTACGCATCCAAAGTTCTGTTGCACTGGGAAGTAAAGTACGTGTTTCTCAGAAAATAAAAATTCCTGCACCTGTGTCATGTGTTTGCTCCTGGCTTTGCAGGCACTCCAGTGAGAAGTGGGAGGGATGGAGAAAGCGGGAAGGTGTTTTGCATGCATATCCGGCTGCACCGCAGCCTGCGGTGCCAGTCCATGGCTTGAGCAGCACGTGGCATCTGTCTGAGCTGGGGAACTCAGGGCACTCAGATGTCACCACGGGGTCATGACCTGGTTACTGGGCTTCACAACACAAAACCGCAGCCTAGGCTCAGCTGGAGCTGAGAGACATGCTCCCTGACTAAAGGCCATGGCCACTGCCTCGCAAGGGGGGACATGGGGAGGGAAGGCCCTTTGCTCATTCACAGGGAGGTAGCCCGTGCAAGCGGCCTCGGGTCCCGGCAGCAGCTCAGTGTGCTGCTTGCCCCAGGCGGTGGAAAGCAGGGCTGCTTAGCCCGGGGGAAGGTTGCAATGGCAGCGTATGCTCTTAAGACCTAAACTTTGGTCTCCATACCATTTTGCAGTTTTGGTGGAGTGTATCTGTGTGCATACTGCACTGTGTATACAAACAGAAATGGGTGTCCCATGGGGGAGCCTAAGAGACAGACCCAGAGCAGCAAGGAGCCTACCCCTGCCCGTTGCCCTCTCCCCACCCTGGCACCACAGTGACCTGATTTTGCTGAAGTGGGGGAGAGGCTGAGGGCCACGTCGTGCCTAAGGCTGCCCAAAGGTTAATCAGAAATGGTTGGAGCCTGAAAAGAGTTTTTGAGTGCAAAGCTTTGGCCTGACACCCAAGTTCACAGCGGATTAGCTGACTCTTTGGGAATTGTACAGTTTCTCTGGCTGGACCTCGTCAGAGGGGCAGCCATACCCCAGAGTGAGCACTGAGGTTCTCATTCCCTCCTCTTCCTCCATCCCTGTCATCCAGCTCAGGGCCTCAGCAGCAGGGTGCTGCAGTCTCTTCTGGCATATGCACTCAAGATGTGTCCATGCAGGAAGCAAGGTGGATGAGCAGCGGGCTGTCTTTCTGTATATTTGCCCAGAGTCAGGAACATTCGTGGCAGGGTCACATCTCGGCACAGCAGTGGGATGCTACAGAGGCAAGCAGCTGGGTTGTGGCTAGGGGAAACGCACGTAGTCGGCACGGCTGCTCTTTTCTGGAATGGACAAAGTAACACGCCTTATCTCACAGAGATAGCGTGAGGGCAAGCATGAGAAAGAAAACTGAGGTGCTCAGTATTAGGAGCTACTCACAGGGTCTGGTTCAAAGCACTCCCTGCTACGCTGTGTGCAATGGAGACAGAGGAGGAGCCACTAGCTCTCTTAAAAATCAATTCTGAACCAGCATGATCCGGTCTTTGGTCAGGGCCAAAAGGCTACAAAATTTCAGTCTCTGAAAGGTTAAGGGGATGAATTCCTTCCCAGAACAGATTTCTGGCTCTTCACAAATCCTCATTTTACCTATGGGAGCTTGCTTGGGGTTTCAACCTTTCAGAGAGGGTCTCAAAAGCATATGCTGTCACCTAGATGAAGTTACAGCCAGGTGGTCCCTGGCTTAAGCAACTTGCTTCGCCTGACTCCAGTCATCTGGTCTGCCTGGCTTTGCAGGGAGGGTGACCTATTTAATTAAGGTCTAGGATTGCCGGTCCAACACAATAAGATTTCCTGCCAGTGACAACAGGCTCTGCTTTTGGATTAAAAGCTCTGCTATGGCAGCTGCCTCTGTCAGTCTGAGCGGGACTGGAGTCCTCTCTAGATAGTTTTACGCAGGGTAACGTGGTGGAGGAGGGAGGGCTCGCATATATGTTGTGCCCAGCTACTGGTTATTAGGTACCTGGAATAAATGTCGGCCCATTGGGAGCGCTGACCCTTCGCTCTGCCTGCCTTACCCCCCTGTGTCAGTGCATGAGGGACCATCCTTACGCCCGTGCTGGTCAGATGTGGAGCCTGAGGTAGGATTTCTGGTTGTGCCCGTGGCCCAGCGAAGACGTGCAAGCTGACATGAACCAGCAAGTTCAGATAGCAGTAACAGTGGAGTTATCTGGAGATAGGGTCGGTGGGTTGGGATACTTATGGTGAAATCCACATGTCTGCACCTTTGCTACTCTGAGTACTGAGTATGCCCTTGGCTGCAGTCCTGACAGAGTGTAGTGGTATACGTAATTCCCACACACTGAGGCTATAAAGCTCCTGCAATGGCCCCTGCTTTAGGGACAAGGGAAGTTTCCTAGAGGAAAGGGGATGGTGGGGAAAGGGTTTTTCAGCTCCATGCTATATTGATTCAGCATCTGTGTTGGA